ATACCTCACAACCGTGTATAAAATTACGCTCAATATTTGAGTCTGAAGCGTTAGCACACTCCCGACCACTTGATGGCGACAACCAGGACGCTGTACGGAACACGGTGTCTAGCGCACCGTAAAAAAAGTCACAGACGAATATGGCAAGACGGAGAACCGAGAAAAAAGACTACAACCAAATATAAACAGACCCCTTTCCTTTTCCGGTAGCTAGCGCAGTAGGGACTTTAAGCACCAGCTGCTGATAGAACGGCGACGGCAGCCTGAAATAAACAGTTAACTGCCGTAGTTAAAGAGCGCAAAAATCACTAAGCAACAGTAAAGAGGACGGCATAGGGAATAATTTAATCATCAGACAAAATACAAAAAGAAAGTGGTTTTAAAAAGAAAGAGAAGGGTTGATTTTAGCACTTAATGATATACAGAAACGATTTCAATGCCACATAACCTAAAACATAACATTAACTGTCTTAATCTGTCACGTAGTAACGACTACAGCAAATCAGCTGTTCTCCCGTAGTAGACGGTTACAGTAGAACGTCAAGAAGTAGCAGTTAATGTCGCGCATGCGCAATAGAACGCCAGAATGCCGTTGCCGTTCCACCAGAGGCTGTTGCTTAAAGTCCCTCGGGGACTTGAAATCATTGAAATCGTTTCTGTATATCATTAAGTGCTAAAATCAACCCTTCTCTTTCTTTTTAAAACCACTTTCTTTTTGTATTTTGTCTGATGATTAAATTATTCCCTATGCCGTCCTCTTTACTGTTGCTTAGTGATTTTTGCGCTCTTTAACTACGGCAGTTAACTGTTTATTTCCGGCTGCCGTCGCCGTTCTATCAGCAGCTGTTGCTTAAAGTCCCTATTATTATTCAACGAGCACGGAGTCCTCCAGCAGGCATCAATGCGATTTTAAAAAATGACAAATAAAACACGACAGAAACGGTATTTCGCTACGCTACTTGTTTCGGAACATCAACGAACACCACCAACCACTCGGTGAGTTGCACAGTTTTGAAAATGAACTTAAGGGTTGTTTTAAGGACATTTTTTTTGTGCATGCCCATAGAAAGCCAGTCTAAAGCTGTCACAGGCGATTCTAAAAAAGTCAAAAAGTCGAGACAGGACCTATTGTAAAAATGTTTTAAGTCCACCACTCTATTTCATTCAAAACAAACTACAAAATAGACTCAAGGTGTTAAATACCGGAATTATCCATTAATCAATTTGGCCAATAATGGCAGACAGGAAACAAGGAGCTGGTTGAAGTTCAGGAAGTAGTGCAGCTGTGCATAAAGCCCATTATTTATAACAAACACTCCAAATGCAGTTTTTTGGTTCCCCTAAAACCCTTCCAGAGAACAATTTTTAAAAGAACCTTTTTTTTCTTAGTCGTAAAAATGTAAAAAAAAAAACAAAAACAAAAAAAAAAACATATTTTCCACTATAAAGGACCTTATTGTAGAATGGAACGTGGATGTGAAAGGTTCTTCATGAAAGCATCAGCCAATTTATTTTTAAGAGTATTTGCCCGTTTCTGCTTTCAGATATAACAGAATATGATTGTTTGATCAGTATGTCTGTTCCATTGTGTTCTGTTCCTATTTGTTCCCTCGTTTCTTTACATGGATTCTGATGAGTTACGCACCTGTTTTTGCTCCAGTTTATTCGCTCACTCTGGCTGAACTCAAAATCGTCCTCTATACTTAAATAGGTCATTATTTAATGGGACAGACATTTTTAGTTGCGTCGACGTTATCAAGTGCACTCATTCAATCCCACAATGCACCGCAATAAGGACTTGTCCGAATTCGTTCACTCGTTTTCGTTCACTCCTTCGAGTGAACAGTGGGCTAACATAGGGGATAGTGAACGAGGATTTAGGGGCCCATTTCGGATTCAGCCTCCGCGTATTAAAAAGTGATCTCCTGTGTGATACGTTTTTCACTTATTCATTAAATACTGTTGACATCTCCTTCGTCATCAGCTTTAGGCTACATGCTTGGTAGGCTACACTCTTTTAAAAATAAATGTTCGAAATGGTTTTTTTTTTTTTTTGGGGCAGCAATTCCATAGAAGAACCATTGTTGCTTCCCCAAATAACCTGTTCTTAAATTAACCATTTCTTAGTGTGAAGAATATTTTTTAAAAGAACAGAATGGCAAGGATATGGAGGTTTGTTCTTCATGGAACCATCCAGTGAAGAAACTTTTATTCTTAAGTGTGTAGATGCTAAAAGACTAAATATGCTAAAATTCAAGTGTTTGTGATGCTTTGATATGCGTATGTGTGTGTGTGTGTGTGTGTGTGTGTGTGTTGTCTGTTCCCCTACTGAGCTGCTTCACTGTCAGATCATGGTCTTGTTATTTTCAGCTTCTGCCGGATATGATTCAGACTGAAGGACTGTGTAATTATAACACACACACACACACACACAGAGAGAGAGAGAGAGAGAGAGAGAGAGAGAGGGGGGGGGGGGGGGGGGGATAAGGGTTTCTGGTAAGACTGTTGGGATCCCCCGGTTGGAGGAGCATTAGGTGCAGCATAACACTGCTTTGTTTCATTACATTTTAGCAGTGTGTGTGTGTGTGTGTGTGTAGGGTATATTTGCTTCCTCTGCCCTAGAAATTATTTTAGTAAGTAGCCTATTTATATAGCATCGAGATTATTATCACTTACTTGTAAACTTGCATGTTATGCTCATTCTGTGTTTGTACCGTGTTTAACAAACTGAACATTTTTAAATATTTAAATATTCTTCATACTGTAGCTGACGGCATGATCATAATAAAAGCATGCCGTCCCAAAAAAGTGTTTTATATAATGAGCAAACATGCAGTGACGAGAAGTGAGCGAGTGTGCCTCAGAGGAAGCCAGAAAGCCACCGGAGGAGAGTCGGCTGTGTGTCCTGCTTTCTGAGAAACGGGTCAGGTGGTGGTTTCAACAGCGCGTGTGCGGCGCGTGAATGCTGCTGACCGGCTCTCTTTTACCGAGGAAGGAAGGAAGACATGCATTGAAAGTACACACAAATGCAGATACTGTACATTCACACTGTAAGGATGTCCTGCTGCCATATATGCACTGAATGCTATCTTTGGTGAAGATCGCTAAAGTTTTCATTAATTGTAAAGGGGATTTTAAGCTCGCATTGACCTGAATTATGAACAGATGCCATATTAAACTTGAGTTAAAACAATTTTAGTGAACGCGTAAAAATGAAATATCTGAAGAATGCAATGAATATATTCACTCAATTTACAAATTGCATGAATGAATTGTATTGGATGAATATATATCAAGAAAGCACAAACGCAAAACATTTCACAAAAATAAGTTTTGATGAGTTTTTAAAAAAGTAAACATTATGATAGTGACTTTTTTTGTATGGTTATTTATATAGATGTTTATATGCTGCGCCTGTGTAAACTTGAGGGAACAACATATATATTGTTTATATATTAATACACACATTAATGCTTTTGACGCACGTCTATTTAATGAAAACACAGTAAAAACAGCAATATTATGGAATGTTATGTCAATTTAAAGTTTTGTATTGTGATATATTTTTACATTTAATAAAAAAAAAATGCTCCTGTGATCAAAGCTTAATTTTCAGCATCATTAGGCTACTGCAGTCTTCAGTGTCACATGATCCTTTAGAAATCATTCTAATATGCAGATGTAATGCATAAATATGATAATTTGATAACTTTTTATGATAATTTTTAATTGGTGCTCAGTTATCCTATTAATAATGTTTTTTGTTTTTTTTTGGACCGGTATATTATTAGGCTATTATAATATATATATATTTTTTTGTTGTTAATTTATATCGAGATTCCACACCAGCACCTGCTATACTGAAATATGCCGTATAGTTCCAGGACTGTGAAGTAGCTACTCTAGAGTGCAGTGTGGATGTGGCTTACAGCCTCAGCCAATCAAATCACAGAGAAGGAAACAATGCGAGAATGCAGGCGTGAGACGTCACACGCTATTTTTGGAGAGCTCCGCCCACATTTCTATTTTCGTCCGCCTCGGGGGCGGGGCTTACCGACAGATACTTGTAATAACTCACTTTCTCCCTCTCGTACCACTGCCGAACATCGCGGCTGCTCTTTTTAATGGATGTCAGACTACTAACTGAGGATTAACACAAGCTTTAACAGGGGAAGCATTTGGACTTAAAACCAGGCGTAAAGACTTGTGCAACAAAGAACAAGGAGTTTGAAACAAGGGAATAACGACCTGTTGCATGATTTTATCTTTCACATAAGGTAGGCTACAGGCTGTCTTTCATATTATAAACGCGTCCTGTTTTGCTTTAGTCTTTATAAGGAAGTCAGTTTGCTTGGCATTTTCAGTGTGCCTTGTGAAAGCTTTGCATTGTGATCTGTCAATCTATTTTGCGTATTTGTTTATTTATTGAGTATTGTCATTTAATTCGTTATTTTTGTTGTCAAGCATGGCTTTCAAAAGACATAGGCATTAGGCTGATACAAATGATGTGGGTATATGCGCATTACGTCGGTGAAATTGAAGCATAAGGAATAAGTTTAGAAACAAAGTGGAAATGAAACCCAAACACACTAGCAAAGAAACAAATGAAGTCCTCTGTCTGAAATAGCCCGCGTGAGAAGCTGTGTAGTTCTCTATGCTGACTCAAGTCTGAAAATGCATCTTCAACTTAAAAAACGTTCAGTTTGCCTGCAATTTCTTTCAAAATCTTAAGCAACTGACTGTTTAGCGGTTGCAGTGATGGTGAAAACTGTCTAGGTAAGCAGGCACTCACTGTTTGAGTCACAGCTTTATCACACAGCCTTGTGTTTTTAAATTAATTCATTTTTAAGTTCTTTTTTCAGTCAGTGGTTGCTATTACTAATTCACCAGTTGGTCTTGTGTCTGTATTCTATTTTGACTGAAATGCTTACCGTGGTAAAGGTGTGCACAGCAGAAAATGAAAGATCTCACAAACATCTCCACTTCTTCTCATTCCACAGATGGAAGTTGTGCGGCAGGACTGATCGTCGAGCCAGATCAACGGGACATTCGCTATTGGGGAGTGGCAGGTATGTTGATGTTCTCTTCATTTCAGAGAAGTTTCAACTGTGAGGAACCTTCTCGAGAAGACTGACATTCCCGTGTTCGCCTGTATGAATAAGCCATACAAACAGAATCTATTTCCTTCATGGATATTCATGGAGTTACACGCAGACAGTTACACGTGGTGTCGGCCCAGATCCGGGCCACATCTGGGCTATGCGTGGAATCCACATGTACCAGATGTGGCCCGGATCTGGGCCGACACTATGTTGCTGTACAGACCCCAGAAGTATTAAAATGTTTGAATGTTATTGTATTGAATAACAAAATGGCTAAGTGGCACCTGCAAGGAAACGCTGCAGGTTTTCTCAGAAGAAACTTTGTGTTTGTGCGTAATTCTAACCAATAGGGTGATTTCTGGTGTTTGAATGACGTCAGTAAGTTCACACAGGTGTGCTATAGCCGAGTAGCTACACACACACTATCAATATGTTTCACGTTTGACATCCACAAAGTGTGCATGTTCCTTTTGTCATCATTTTTATCAGTCCTTTACTTTTTGGATACACTTTACAGTTGAAAAGTGAGGATGTATAAAATCTGATTACAATTGACAGTAAAAAAAAATGATATTTCATGCAAATGCTGTTCTTTTGACCTTTTCAAAGAATCCTGAAATAATAATTAGTAGCCTAATGTTTCTTGACCATCAAAGCATTTTAGAATTATTTCTGAAGGATCATGTGACACTGAAGACTGGAGTTATGATGCTGAAAATTCGGCTTTGATCACATGAATACATGTCATTTTAATATATATATCACTTAGATCACAGAAAACACTTCTTTTAATTCGTAATATTACTGTTTATACTGTATTTTTGGTCAAATAAATGCAGTCTTGGTGAGTATAAGAGACCTCTTGCAAAAACATTAAACAGACCCCAAACTTTTGAATGGTAGTGTAGCCTATAATAATAATCAGATAGTCAGATGCTAAATGCTTTTCATAACCTTACTAATCATAAACATAAAGTTGAAGTTCAAAATTAACCTGTTATTTTAACTCGGACCCCCATGAAGACAGTAAAGTAAATCTCAACTGAACATGAGAATGAATTATTAATTCATGCCAATGACTGAGACATTTAAACCAACACACTGATATCTCCAACTAATAAATAATGAAATAAATTGATCACGTTCACTGAACGGATTTACCATTATGTCATATTGTTACAATCACTATCTTAAATCTATAACTAGTTGTGACTCAGCGGATGGTTGTGTAAACAAACATAAATGCTCTATGCACTTGATATTGCTGGGCGTCAGAGACTGCTTGCAGCGCTAGAGTCCTGTAGCGCGCGCTCGGCTCGAGTTGCGCGCGCCACAGCGGGCCGAGCGCTTGCGGGGGAAAACAACACGATGAGGTCATGGCCGGCGGCGCGGGGGTAAAGTTTCAGGGATCCGACACCGCTCATGCTCTTTTGTTCATGTGTAACCGGGCCCCACGGAGCCGCTCGTGAAGCCCGCAGAACGCTCTGTTGTAGAAGTGCCGGGCTTTTTGTCTTTCTCTCCATTTATGTCGTTCGTGAGACCCGATATAGTTTCGTCATAGTTTATGTTACAGATGATTTTGGGGAATGCGACTGAGCTAGTGTGCCTCACATTGCGTTCGGTAACCACAGTTTGTGTAAACTACCTCAGAGTGAATTCCTCTCGAGCGGTTTTTGAAGACATCAGTGGTTTTGACATGTACATACAACTTCCCCAAAAGATTTAGTGCATCTTAATGCCTTTGACATTCTCTCACAGTCATGTAATAACCATACAACATAATGCTGCATACACTTAAAGCACTAAACCAGCATCATATGTGTTGGTCACTTGTGTTTATTGAATTTTAACTGCTGGTTGAAGGAGTAGTTTTTGGTTTTGATGAAAACATTCCAGGATTTTTCTCCATATAATGGACTTCAGTGAGAACCAAACGGTTTAAGGTCCAAAAGACACTTTCAGTGCAAACTGTTCAAAGGGCTTTTAACGATTCCAGACAATGTATAAGGGTCTTATCAAGTGAAACGATCGCTTATTTAATAAAAAAAAAAAAAAAAGTTTAAGTTTTATAAGCTCAAATGGTCGCCTTGCTCAGTTCTGTGATGCGCGCCACAGCGCTTGCGTGACTCTCCCGTGACTCTCCTGTTTGAATTCGTGTAACAAAAGGAACAAATCTTTTTTCGTGTCATTTGGTTCATTGAACGAACGAAATTGACTCGGGAAAAGGTTCGTTCATTTTGATAAACGAGTTCGAACAGGAGAGTCACGAACGCTCATTACAGAACAGAGCGAGCATTTGAGCTTATAAACCTAAACTTTTTTTTTTTTTTTATTAAATAAGCCATCGTTTCACTTGATAAGACCCTTATTCATCGTCTGGAATCGTTTAAAGCCCTTTCAACAGTTTGCAGTTTGCACTGAAAGAGTCTTTTGGACCTTGAACCGTTTGGTTCCCATTGAAGTCCATTATATGGAGAAAAATCCTGGAATGTTTTCATCAAAAACCTTCATTTCTTTTCGACTGAAGAAAGAAAGACGTGGACATCTTGGATGACATGGGGGTGAGTAAATTATCAGCAAAAGTTTTTTTTTGAAAAGTGAACTACTCCTTTAACAAATACAACCTTTGATTTTAATAATGTAAATAGTTAACTATTAATAAATGCGGAAGTAGAAGTATTGTTGTCTTAGTTCATGTTAACTAATGTAGTTAACAAATGTAAACTAATAAACCTGATTGTAAAGTGTTACCAAAATGATGATCAAGTTATAACAACATATCATATGTTTTGCATTGCTTTAACTCGACAAAATAAGTTCATAAACTTTTTAAAAAAAAAAATTAAGTCAGTTTAATGAAATTTAAGTTGAAATTATTTAAACAATCCAAGTTGGTTGTATTTAAATTTTAGTTTTGTTGACTAAATCCTCCTGACCAACAAAAATCACTGTCAGGTATAACTATCTCCTAGGGTAACAACTGCATGTTTGAAAACCTTTTTTTTTTTTTACAGTGTACAATTGTGATTTTTTTTTTCAAGTTCATTGAAGTGGATTTACCTGTGGGGCAACATAAATGGACAGGGTTATGAGTTAGCCGACAGGAGTGATGGCAAGATGTTCATTGTGAGGTGTTTTTTGCATCCCTCCCCCGTGAGGGGCAGAGGGACAGGAGAGTCGAGCTGACAATAGCGAGATTGTTTTTCAGGGAGCTGCAGTAAAGATCACATTTCCTGTTACTGGCTGAAAGCGGGGTCAGCTGACACCAGCCTCCTTCACCGCTGCGGCTGTCATCACCGCTCAGACGAGGGGAAAAAAGACACTAACAGCTTCAAGGCACAAGTTAACTCTTAACATGTACAGATATCACTCACACGGCCAGGGTCCAGGCGAAAGCTGTGTTATAGTGGTGCTGACATTGAACCGATGTGATGCATCGAGGAGCAAGGTTGCAAATCTGAGCCCTTTGTGATTCATCCAGGATGTCACAGCGCCGGCTTCTGAAACATCTTTGATTTTTAGTGTGATTTTTTTTCAGTTCTTCTACTCTTACCGTGGACTATCTACTCACCAATATCAAATAGTTGAAGGTTGTTGTGTTGTTTCCCAATTGCTGGTGTAGACAACATAGTGTCGGCCCAGATCCGGGCCACATGTGGATTTCAGCCGTACCAGATCTGGACCGACTCTATGTTCTGTCTGGGTAGTTTCTGCTTAATTCCATTTCTAGATTAGTAGAGATTTTGCAAACTACTAGACTATACAGTTACTCAACGCTTACATGTTGATTAGTGATGGATTACATACATGTAATTGCATTTTTGCTAGTTCTACATGACAACAGCTAGAAGAACAGTTTTTTTGTTTTGAGCCAGCAATGACTAGTTGGGGACCATGTGATGTAACTTTGTTTGCTCTATATTGGGAGGGAAATTGAGTTTCCTGTTTAATAGGTTTTGTGCTGACTAGTTTACAATCTGATTAGTTTCACCACTATTTAGTGTTGTAGACTGGTATTGACTAGTCATGCACCACATGATGTTTTGAGCCAGCGTTGACTATCTGTAAATCACTTGACTCCTGTTGCATTTCTATATGGCGGCAGCTGGAAGAAATTCCAGTTTTTGATTAGTAAACTGTTGCACTGACTAGTAACGATTCAAGTAATTGAATGGTAGTTATATCACCATTTAATGCTTTAAGGCCAATTTATACTTTTGCGTCGAGGGTACGGCGTAGTGTACAGCGTAGGCTATGCTCGTAGGCGACGCCGTCGTGAGCATTTACACTTCTGCGTTCAAGTCTTGGTTGCTCTCCAGTACTGCTCCGAAACGCTAGTTGTCGGCGGAGGGTTTTAATGTTCTACTGTGTTTAGATTCCTCGCGGCTAGGCATAGACATATACACTAGACCTCACCTTGGATACGGCAGTTCATTGGAACGAATGCGTCAATAGAGCCGCCATCTTGAAACAGGGGAGCCCCTCCACTTTAATGCATCAGCGTCATTGTAGTAGACACAGGTCTAATGTCATGAATGCGATTTTTCTTGTTTTTTTGGTTTGTTCCAACGGTCAGACATGTATTTATCATTGATTCCAGAAAGAAATGTTTTTTTTTTTTTTTTTTTTTTTTAATTTTTTGTAAAACATTCTTCCTAGTTCAGATTTCATCCGTGAACTTCATACGCTGCACAAAAGTCCGCCACCATCAATGAATTCGAAGTAAAGGCAGAGATAGCAGCGTTACCTAGCTACTTCCTATGACAAGACCCCTGTTCCAAGATGGCGGCGGTTTTGACGCATGCTTAGAACCCCCAGGTGAGGTCTAGTGTATATGTCTTTGGCGGCTAGGTTACTATGTTCCGAAGGGAGGCTTTCTACAACTTGCTCCGACAGTTCCATTTTATTCGGGAAACGAATTAAACACACACAGCAGTCAACAATAAATCAGGTTAATATATTTTCTT